GCAGGAGAAGCAGTTGCTCGAGATCTGTCGAGTCTTTTAGATGGTAGACTTCCATATTTTCAAAGAAACTTAGATTTCCACAAATGTAGTTTTGATAAGCTTGTTTTTCATAGTTCGCCTCTACTTGGCCATCTGCTTTGAGTTTTCTTTGGCTTTACCGAGTTCTTTTTAATTTTTCTCAGGGACAATTGTTCACTATGACAGCGAACCTTGGATTGATACTGTTGCTAAATTCCATGATTTTCGAGAACGGGAACTATCCAGTAAGCCTTCATTTGTAGCAGCCCTTGATGAAGCATTAGAACTATTGAGAAAGGTCTTAGATGAATATCCGTGAGTTAGCTGTATTTCTTCATGAGCTAGTTCGATTCAATTCCAATTCTGGAGATTTTCAGCCTAGAGCAAATCACGTTATCTTTTAACGGAGGGAAAGACTGTACGGTCCTTCTTCATCTGTTACGAATAGCTGTAGACGAGTAAGCGCTTCTTTTATTGGGAAGCTAGGTACTACTACATCTTTATCTTTATTAAGAAAATATGGCGCGGATGTGCCCATACAAGGCTTCCATATTCTTTGTGAGGACCAGTTCCCCGAAGCTACGCAGTTCATAATAGATGTTGCAAAGAGGTAGATTTTCTACAAAATTTTCTGTATGGTTGAAAATTCCTTAAAGTAGTTTCAGATATAACATTGTTGTGACTGAATATCCTGGACCATTGAAGACGGGGCTTGCACAACTGAAGGATGAACAACCATATGTGATCGCAGTGCTAATGGGCAGCAGAGCTAGCGATCCCTGCGGGAAATACATGAAGTGAGGCTTTCACAACTTAATTTTCGTTTTAAACATCTTTTGGTCGCGGAGCAGAGCGGACGTTTGATCTTTTTTTAGAATATTGATCTTGTCCTCCCCTTTGGAATTTGATCGTTGAGTGAACGTATACTTGTTTTCTAGACTTTTTTATTGAAATTTTCTTTTTAAAACCTGTTTCAGATCCAACCTGCAGTGGACCGACGATGATTGGCCACGAGTTCTGCGGGTTTGTCCTATACTGTCATGGTCTTATCGCGATGTCTGGGCAGCATTGCGTGGATTATGCATCCCATATTGCTCTCTGTACGATATGGGCTATACTTCTTTGGGAGGGCGCAGTACGACTATTAGAAACCCACTTTTGAGAAGTGTGGGCAAGGATGGTACTGTGAGGTATGTTTGATGTTCTCCATAATGAACTTTCCAATTTTACAATTTTCAACGCCGATGCGGAACCTGTTCGTTGAGTTTGTAAATGTCTGCATGTCTAGATACATGCCTGCATATACCTTGGATGATAACGGTTCGGAACGAAATGGACGATCGCATGAGTGAGGGATGGGGTATATGCGTATAGGCTACCAAAGAGTCAATCCCTTTCTATCCTAGGCAATGAACATTCGAATTTAATTCCTAGTTTTATCTGAGTGGCAGTGTTCTGCGGCTAGATTTAAATTCTAGTCCATCTAAATGCTTATGTCTGCTATGGGCCAAATTTGTCAGATGCGTTGGTGGTAGAAAAGAAAAATGTGTATTAATTTGAATAGATGTTTAGGGTAGATCACCAGCAAATAGAAGAAGCTAGAAGCTTCAGAAGCAGTTAGGTTATAGGAGAGATATGATATAGTAAATATTGCAAAATCTGAAGTCAAGACGAGATCCTGAATTCATTCCACAGTTTCAGAATATTTACTTGCACATTCGATCGTAAAATCATTTGGTTCCATATTTTTTTCCTGACATCTCGTTTACCTCTAGTCAATCCATAGAAATAGCTTGCGATTTAGACTTGTGTTGCCCCAAGAACTTCTTTTTGGACAGTAAACAATGGTAACGCTTGATTTTCACTTCTCTTATCCTCTTCATGCCTTCTTTTCAATAGTCTTTAAAAAGATCAACAATTTTATTCTCCACTATGTTGACCATGTACGAAGTAAATCAGTGGAAAAAGGACATAGGCCTTTTTTGTACCGCTCTGTTGCTTTATTTGCTCAAGGTGACCAATCAACTGTCTGATTAACTCCACTACTCAAGCTGAAAAAAAATCCTTCTTGCACATGGTATAGTTCACGAAACTGCATATGTACAGCAAAACGTTTACAGTTTGAATCTTAGAATATGACATAAAAGTGAATTTC